GATGGAGGGATGGATGGATGGATAAATAGATAGATAGATAGATAGATAGATAGATAGATAGATAGATAGATAGATAGACAGACAGACAGATGATAGAGAGAAATACAGACAGACAGACAGACAATAGAAAATAGATGGGTGGATAGGTAGATGGATGGATAGATAGACAGATAGATAAAGACAGATGATAGAGAAGAGGACAGACAGACAGACAATAGATAGATAATAGATGGATGGATAGGTAGATGGATGGATGGATGGATGGATGGATGGATGGATGGATGGATGGATGGATGGATAGATAGATAGATGTATAGAAAGACAGATGAGATAGAGAGAGACAGGCAGGCAGGCAGGCAGAACAGACAATAGACAGACAGATAATGGATGGATGAACAGATGGATGGACAGACAGACAGACAATAAACACAGACTGATAGATAAGACAGATAGATAACAGATGGATGGATGGATGGATATAGGCTGGCAGATAGGCTGGCAGTTAGATATAGGAATATTTGTGAGTAAGTACTATAATTAGTGCCATGGTGGTGCAGTGGTTAGAATGCAGTATTGTATTCCCATTGCCAGGAGTTCGATCCTTATGGGTTCAAGGTTGACTCAGCCTTCCATCCTTCCAGGGTCAGTAAAATGAGGACCCAGATGGGTGGGAATATGCTGCCTCTGTAAATCCCTTAGAGAGGAATGTAAAGCACTGTGAAGTGGTATATAAGTCTATTGCTGTTGCTGGGAGCCAGCAGTGTGCTGCAGCAACCCCCCCCCCCCAAAAGCCAACAATGCCACTATATTTCTTTGCTCGCTTTGAAGTGGAGACATCAGAGACAGCTAAAATACAGCCCCCAGCCCATTGTAGCCCCCACCTCATTGTGGAGGGAGAGGGGGGTGAGGGGCGTTCCGAGGCCTGCCGGCCCTGGCGGTACCTCTGGCTGAGTGCTTAGAGACTGTGCTGATCAGTTGGCTGGAGTCTTTGTCAAAATCTTCAACCGGCCTTTATCCCAGCCCACTATTCCACCTCGTTTGAAGGCTTCCACCATGGTTCCACTGACAAAGATGTTCCTTATCAATAACCCCAACGATTACAGAGCAATACCACCCGCTCCTACCCTCATGAAGCGCTTTGAGAAATTCATTTCTGCTCTTCCACATACCTAACGCCAGTTTGCATACAGAAAGAATAGATCTACAGATGATGCTACAGCCATCACTCTTCACACCGCTCTGGCACATCTGGAATAGCGAGCACGCTTTTTGTAGATTTTAGTTCTGCCTTCAACACAATTCTTCCACATATAATGTCTAAATTTATGAATCTTGGGCTTTCTTATTCAATCTGGATTATGGATTTCCTGTCTGGCTGCTCCCAGATTAGGTCAGTGGTGGGTTTCAAAATTTGTTTAGAACCTCTTCTGTAGGTACGGTCTGCTTTGTGGGAGTGGCTTGCTTGGCCATGTGACCGAGTGGGAGTGGCTTGCTGGCCATGTGTCCGACTGGGAGTGGTTTGTCAGCCATGTCACTGGGTGGGAGTGGCCAACTTGTAAAATGTGGTGAAACTCACAACGCTTAGCAACCAAAATGTTGGCTCAGGAACTCTGGCATTGAAGTGTGCAAGTCTTAAAGCTGTCAAGTTACACCCCTTGCACCCCTAACCCTTTAGAAACACCCCCCTCCCAGGGGTGTTCAAATTTGACAGCTTTAAAACTTGTGGACTTCAACTCCCAGAATTCCTCCTCCAGTCATGTTGGCTCAGGAACTCTGGAGTTGAAGCGTGCAAGTCTTAAAGCTGTCAAATTATAAGACCCTTTTGCACCCCTAACCCTTTAGAAGAAAAAAAACCCAGGGGTGTTCAAACTTGACAGCTTTAAGACTTGTGGACTTCAACCCCCAGAATTCCTCCTCTTGCTCCTCATCTTGATGATGTGCTGACGGGCGGGGGGGGGGAGCTGGAACCGGTTCTAAATGGCACGGTAGATTTGTGGAACCTCTTCTATAGAGAGAACTGGGAGAAACCCACCCCTGGATTAGGTAGTCATATCTCCTTGGCCCCTTATTAACACTGATACACTCAAAGCTATGTTGCCTGGTATGTGCGGCCTTGCCTGTTTGTCTTCCGGGTTTCTGGTGAGCATGCATTGCGCGATGATCAGCTGTCCTTCATGCGTGCAGCAGTGCCGAAAACCGGTGTGAGCATGCCAGCTGATTGTCAGATGTGCATGTGCGCCAGAACTCAGAAGTTCAGCTTTTCCAGAGTGTGATCCCTTCGTGTGCGTGGTGGTGCCGAAAACCGGCTTGTGCATGTGCGCCCGCCAGCTGATCATCAGGCGGCATGCGGGCTAGAACCCACAAGTTCGGCTTTTCTGGAGCATGGCCCCGATGAGTGGACGTGCGACATTTCCGCGCAACCTTTTTGGCACTCAGTACCGAAAAGGTTTCACCATCACTGCCCTATACTCTTTATGTACATGACTTCCTTCCCACTCACGCCAGTAATACTATTACTGAATTTGCAGGTGATACAACTGTGGTGGGACTAATTTCTGGGGTGTGTGTGTTTGTCTGCCTATCGAGATGAGGTGGAACGGTTGGTGTGGAGACAAAAACTTCGGCACTTCGAATGGTCACTCATGCCCTCGTCACCTCAAGGCTTGACTACTGCAACGCGCTCTACATGGGGCTGCCCCTGAAGAGTGTTCGGAGACAACAGTTGATCCAGAATGCAGCCGCGCGAGCGATATCGGGTGTACCTAGATACACCCATGTTACACCTATCCTCCGTGATCTGCACTGGCTTCCTATCGGTCTCCGGACGCGCTTCAAGGTGCTGGTTATCACCTTTAAAGCCCTACATGGCCTAGGATCTGGATATCTGCGAGACCACCTCCTGCCACATACCTCCCAACGGCCCATAAGATCTCACAGGCTGGGCCTCCTCCGGGTGCCGTCGACCGGACAATGCCGGCTGATGACCCCTCGGGGGAGGGCCTTCTCTGTAGCTGCCCCGGCCCTGTGGAACGATCTACCCGCAGAGATCCGGACCCTT